GGTCTCAGCAACGTATTTAGTGGCAACTGTTAAGCGGTCACCTTTTGGTTTTGCAGGTGCCGTGGGGCCCCCTGTGGAACTGGATGAGCCTCTGAGGTGAGCTGCCACTAGCAAGGAGGGTGCGAGGGCTGGTGCTCCCTGGAAAGCACAAGAGTGAAAAAAATTTGAGCATAAGGCTTGTCCAGGCCGGGCAGGGCAGTCCCAGCCCGAGGGTGTGTTGTGGTGGTTTTCATATCTGCTGTCTTCTGCGTCTTAGATCTTCCCCAGGCCTTGATGCCCTCAGTGCTCCTTGTGCCCAAGGAGCACCACACGTCTCGGGCACCATCCCCAGGGCCTTAGGTGCCTGTACTCACTGGTGTAGTACCAGCTGGGCTCATCTTTTCTTCTGTGACAGCCTCAAAGCACAGATAGGGCTGGCCCTTGGGAACTGGGAACGAGTTCCTCTTCGTGCTGTTTCCCTGAGCTGCATCAGCAGGATTTTGTTCTCTTGCTGTGTTTTTACAGACTGGGACTTTTCTCTCTCCTTTGAGCCACATGGTGTGTGGTGTTGCCCTGCCTGGGGTGGGGAGTCAGGGGCAGGTGCCACAGCCCTGAGTCTCCAGGAGGTGTGCTGAGACGCCTGGGTGCATGGGTGGTGGCTGCAGTGCCACCTCCAGTGGAGCAGGCACGGCTGTCTGCAGGGGGTTTAAAGATCCCACAGTTTCTCCACTCATCAGCGATGGAGTAGCCCCCAACAGGTTGTGCCCTGGGTTTTTATTATTACTTCCTTTTTTGCCAGGTGTGTTTTTCGGTTTTTTTTGGGGGTGTTTTTAGCAGCTTTTTCTTTGCCAGGGTTCCTGTCACGTCTTTGCCTGCATGGTGGAGGTGAATTCCTGTGAGAGCCTGGGTGTTGAGCAGCCCTCAGCAGTAAGGGGTGGGTTGCACAGGGGTAAGACTCTCAGGGTTAATATTTTGTTGTGTCTGGGCTGTTTTGGCAATGGCTTGTACACTGACATCTGATGGCTTTACCTGTCTGCTTTGTCTCCTCTCCTGTGCCCTTTTTGGACCCTCAACTTTCTACCCAGCCTCCCACACCCCTCCCTCAGCCTCGACATTTCCTGCTCAGCCTCTGAACCACTTTGGCCCTCAAAAACTCTGCTCAGCCTCACACCCCCTTTGGCCTCTACTTTTCTGCTCGGCCTCCCACCCCTTGTTGGCCTCCCACACCTTCTGGGCCTGCTGCCCTCCTCGGGGCTCTACCATTCCACTCAGCTTCCCACCCCCTTTCTGTCCCTACCTTTCTGCTCAGGCTCCCACCCCCTGCTGGGCTCCCCCTGGGCCCCTGTCTCTCTGAGCTTTCTTCCTCTCCCTTAGTTTCCCAGCCAGTCACCTCCCTCCCTTCTAACAATGTTACATTTCTTCCCACAGACCTGATGAAACTGTTTTTCTGTTAAAAGTGGATTTTTTTTTTTCCCCAACCTTTCACCTTTTAACCCTGCATCAAATGACACCCAGGTGCCACCTTTCAGTCACATCTTCCCCACCTCTCCTGGAAGCAGGGAATCACCTTTTCCTTCCTGTTCCAGAGAACCACCTTGAAGCACGTGAGCTGCACTGAAACACAGAGATTGGTGTTGGCCCAATAAACCCCTTC